CTACCGTTGCGTAAGCCATTAAACTATTGTGAAACACGGGTCCGTGAACCGCCTTCACTGAAAGTTCTTTTTCAATGAAGGATCCCTAGGCGGTTAGTGACGAGGTGCGACCCCGGTGGCGGATAGAAGAAAAAAACGAGAGGCAAAAGCCACATGGTACTCTCTAGAGAGGCGAGAGAAATCCGGGGTCAAACTCCCTGTCTCTGCTATTCTGTCGATTTGAACCTTCTGGCTTTTTGCCAAATTATCCACTCATTTGAAAAATCTGAAGGAAGGAAGATCTGGAAGAGAGAGGAGCAGCAGTTCTGGTCGGAATCGCCGAGGTTGGGAAAAGCATTTGCAAAGTTTGTCGAAGCTTCGCCAACTACACGACCAGGACGACTTCCTTTCGTGGGTTGGCAGAACAGTTACTGCATCTCGAAGAGCATTGCAGAATGTCATCTACGACTGCCGCTCACATCTCTTCGACAGCGACCTCTGTATGATTACCTGCCATCTTAGGCAAAACGGATGTATCGTCCCTTCACTTCTTCCTTCCGAAATTCGGCATGCCATCTCGTCGATCAAGAAATGGAAAGCGTCGGATCCCGATAGGATCAAACCGGAATATCTAAAGCCATTGCCAAATCTCTGAGTCGGCTCTTCACGCGGTACATACCTGTCGGAATGCAAAGTGCCCCCGTCGTGGAAAACTAGCACGGCTGTGCTGCTTTTTTAAAAGGGAATCCAGGCGATGTTGGCATTTATCGCCCAAACTATTTACCGTCTGTAATCTGCAAACTATTATATTTATACTGGTTATCCTTAACAGGATTGACAGAATATTGGATGAAGCACTGTCATGCGAACAAGCGGGATTTCATAGAGGGTTCAGTACAACAGATCACATCCACACCGTTACAATACTCATTGAAGTATCACGAGAGTACAAGCTGCTAGTGTGTCTCACGTTCATTGATTAATAGAAAGCCGAGTGAAGACGGCCGAGTTAGAAGCGAAGCTCTGGACAGACATGGTGTTCTCACCTGATATATAAAGATGCTTCGTGAGATTCACAACAACTTTACGACCAGGATCTCGCCATACTATAAAAAAGTTATCATCAACGTGAAGAGAGGAGTTTGACCGGATGATTCCATCTCACCCAAAGCTTTCAGGCCGCACATGCGAGCATCATGCGTCATTTGGAATGGGAAAACCCATAAGAGTGAAGGTCGCTGTTTACACTACCTCCGCTTTGCAGACGATATCGTGCTTGTAACACCGAACACCGAGCAGACGGAACGAACGGTGGCCGAATTTGACATTGCTTGTAGAATGATCGGCTTAAGACGGAACATAACGAGAAGTGCTTGTGAGAAATGGATTGGTACCTGATACTCTCTTTACCACCCACTCGCAGCAGATGATAGGCTGATGAGGAGCTGCAGAGTGTATATCAATCACGGCTAAATTAGATGAGAGAGGAATCTCGAGCTGGAGCCTGGAAAGCAGGTGTTTCTTTGAGCTAGACAAATCAGGAAGCGCTTGGCAGATTTGCGCACCCCAAAGTATGACTCCACTTCTCAAGTTCTTGATGGACTTCTTTCTTCCCTTGGAGTACGTCTTATCGCCCCTTTTTCTGTTTTTCGCGCTTGCGCGATTTGAATAAGATGTGCATAACTCGACTCGGGAAAGAAAAAAAAGTGGGGGAGAGCGCTGGCTTTTGGGGCAAAACTGAGGCATGATAGGAGAAAGGGCATTTGGGTCTAGTTGAAGTGTGAAAACCATGTAGCCTGTGGTGGAAGTGAGAGAAGATTTCCCAGCGGGAACGGAGGAATTATACGAAAAGTTTGCTCAAATATATTGTAAACTGCACTAGTATAAGTCACCAGTCGGTTCGGATGGCTAAGGTCGGGCTTCCCTCCTTCTTGGGCAAAGTTGTAGTAATCGGCTACCTCTCCACTCCTTCTTTGAAATAAATATCTT